GGGCTGGTGGTAAAACGGATTACAGTGCCTTGATCTATAGCGTGTGACTGTCATGGGACTAAAGTCCATTTCTGTGACTGACTATTCTACCGGCACCCAATACCGGTATACTGACCGCAGTGGTAGTTGGCAGTCCATTGAAGCCATTGGTGGTAAGGTCAATGGCCACGGAACTCCTGGCTCGGGCCCACAGGTAGAGTCTTCAATCCCCCCTGCAGAAGCCACCCGGCCCCCAACCACCAAAGGTATAATACACCCAAGCGAGTATCCTTGGGTTCCATCTAGTACCCTCAAACCTGAGAGTACACCGTCAATAACCTCGTTTGCAGGGCTCCCCAGTGAATGGATAGTCACAGACTCTGGGAGAGCCACACCGCCGTCCACGGCTTCTGTGAGTGAGCATCACCCTTTGCGACTCATTATTTATAATAGTCACTATTCCCCTGTTATATAATAAGTCCGTCTTTGCTAATTCAACTCGTCTTTCTTTCCTTTACTCCTTCCAGAGCGCATCCCAGTCTGCTTCACGATCGTCGCCTTCATCTCCGGTCTCGGTCTCCTCTTCCGCTGGTGGCCCTGAATCGCCCTCAGCCACTGGTACAAGTTCACCAAATGCCACAGTTGCTCCCGGAACAGGTGCAGCTAATCTCAATTTCCCTATCTCATATGGGGTCTCTGCTATTTGTGGCTTGATTGCTGCCGTCGCCTTCTTCCAATAGTAGTATTAAAGGCAATCCAACCGAACTGAATCGGCTCCTTCCAAGACTTGAAGGGGTAGATTATTGGACCATTTAGCGAAAGCGAAGAGCCGATTATATGTATTAATATATTGCAGGCACAAGGATTACGGCGGATCCTGGGGTTGTTATATGGGGCCGTGGCAAGGCGAGATGGCTTTGTTAAGGAACACAAATATTTCATTCCACAATTAGACTTTGTGTGGGTGGCTTTTCTTCTTGACACTGAATTAATAGCTCTAGACCGTTTTCTAGGTTATTGTTTTGTTTCTTCTTTAAAGTATTATTATTAGTATTATTCCCCGGTTTGTTGCTTGGGCTTGGTTCTGGGCTAGGTGTTTGTTTGCTCCTTTCAGCTTCAGCTTTTTTGTGGTTTTTTTGTTGATGAGACGGGGGTTGGGTGGAGATAACTTTTTTTTGAGCATACATACAGAGTAGACATCACCGTCAATATGATATAGGTCTTATCCCTAGGAGTTGAGGATCCTTCTTGATCGCGGTTTTGTGCTTTTCTCGCATCTAAAATACAGCTGGTGAATATCCTTGATTTTCATATAATGCACAGTACTTCCTAGAGTATGGTACTGCTCTCTTCCAGAGATGAGATCTGGATAGACATGGTGGTTCCCATCGTTTGAATGAAAAAATTGCAAAATATAAAGAAAGGGAAAGAAATAATAATAATCATCATCATCATCATCATCATCATCATAATAATAATAATAACATCAATTGATTGCAGCGAGACTAGTTAAAATTTGTGAAAATGTTAAGGCCGTAAATGATACTATGTATTCATAACTTCGGCTCCCTCATCACCCATCCAACAACGCAACCAACAACTTCTCATAATCCCCACCCGTCTCCTTCTCCACAACATCCACAAGTCTCTTCTCATACAGCCGCCGATACGCCGCCTTCACCTCCGCCACCATCCCCCTCTCACGCTGCCAATGCAACCTCACCACCCGCGCAATCAACAACGAATCCCGCGTCCCGAGCCCCTTCATGCACTTGCGCAACAACCGCGCCTCCAGCCCCGGCCCATCCAGCGCCCCGCGCACAATATGCAGCGCGCTGTGGCGCAGGCCCTTCCGGTCCGCCCGCGCCCAGATGGCCTTCACCTTCTTCTCGAGCGTGAGAGTCCCGTCGCGGAAGGCTGGGCGGGTCGCGGCGAGGGCGGCTGCGACGGCGCGGAGGTGTGCATCGCTGCGGTTCGCGAGCAGGTGGACGAGCTCGGTCTCGTGCGCACAGCCCGGGTCGATGTTCTTGGGCGCGGAGTCGAGTTTGGTCGCGTCGGCTTCGACGAGCGCGTGGTCCAGGGGCCGGGACTCGTCGTCCGCGCGCTGGGCTTTGAGGACCTGGACGAAGAGGGTGTGGTGCGGCCCGCTGATGGCGGGGCAGTTGGCGAGCCGGGTGCTCAGGTCGCTTTTGTAGGTTTCGTTGAAGGCGGCTTTTATGGCGGTGATGTCTGCGTTGGATCGGCGGAGGAGGACGTCGTTGATGAGGATGGCCGGGGACGTCGCGGTGGGCCCTGTGCCGGCTAGGGCTGGTGCGGCCTGCAGGGCGTCGTGGAGGTATATTATGTCGTTCTTCAGGGGCCCGCGTACGAGGGCGAGGAGGGTTTCACCGAAGTCTCGCTTTACTTTCTCCGCGATGATGTCCTCGAGGTTCTTACCGATGTCGTGCCGGTATGTTTTGCGCAGGAGCGCCATTTGCGCCGCGTCGGGCTTGGAGAGGACTTGGATTAGTTTGGCTTCGTCTGTGTTGAAGCTGCCGAATGCCTTTTTGATCTTGCGCGCTTCTTCGCTCATGTCGCCGGTTGCGATGTGGGAGGCACCATAGCCTAGGGAGGGGAGATTGGTGCTTTGAGTTCCCACCGGTGCACGGTAGCCGGCCGGCTGTGGGTTGCTTCCTGGGTATCCTACGGCGGGAGGATATTGACCGGCAGTTGGTTGATGGGGATACTGGCCTGTTGGAAGAGCGCCATATGGTTGCTGCTGAGGGGCAGGGTATGGCTGCGGTTGGCCTGCAGGAGGTGGCACCTGGCCTGGTGCTCCAGCGGGATATTGTACTGGCGGGGCGTAGTAGCCCGCCTGAGGAGGGTATTGGCCTGGCGGCATATAATATCCTTGTGGAGGATATTGCCCCTGAGGAGGCGCTTGACCTTGTGGCGCTGGGGTATATTGTCCTGGAGCCCCTGGAGGAGGGGGTTGGCCGTAAGGTGGGTAACCATAGCCGGGCTGCGGCGCCGGCGGCTGTTGCTGCGGTTGCTGCTGATGAGGAGCCGCTGAGTGGTTGTTATAGGAGAAGCGTAAGTGAGTGAATTATATATGGTGACAGGCGGTACACAAATTTGGGCATGTTTTGCTTCTGGGGCACGAAAAGACCTTTTGTCTGATGAATCATATTGAGACAAAACAGCAATGGAATTACTACACACCTGCGGGCGGGTTCTGCTGTTGCTGATGCGCTGGATCCATCTTAACCTTCCTGCGACTTCCTGCGACAAAAAAAGGGGGGAGGGGGGTGTTATGATCTGTTATCGCAATATAATAACTGGGCAGATAGAGGGGTATCTCGGTTTTCGGTATCTGAAAGACGAAGATGTGCGCCAAAAAAAAAAATCAAAATCCAATGACAGCACCGCAGACAGATATCACCGAAGAAGGGGAACTAACGACGATTTATGAAGAAGGCAAAGAAGCACGGGATGTCGAAGAGCAAGAGATAAGGGGGGCTGAAATAGCTTCCCCTCAGTGGGGATATATAGCAGGAATACCTGAGATGTATCCATTGTTCTCTCAAGCCTGCAAAATGCGCCCAATCCATTTCCAATCCCTCCCTCAAGTCATCACACTTTATTGCTCACTGGTCACAACCTGAGCTGTTCAAGAGAAACCCCTCCTTCTGCACCCCGGTCACCAATGGCCTTCGGAGACTATAGTTCAGCCACAATTGGCCGCCAAGGAGCTGGCATGATCCAATCAACAGTACAGGCTGATACGCTGCATTGTCCCAAGGCTGGCAATTTCTGGGCAAGATGATCCCTCGCCCGTCGCAGCACTTTGCAAGTCTCCTTTCTGATCTACGGAGTACAGCGGCTTACCTGCTCGTATCATACCGACAACGACCAACTATGAACTATGATCTCCAAGTGCCATGGTGGGTGGCACCACGCGCTGGTCGTTAAATGCAATCCCAATGGTACTTCAATGACCCAGGGGAATATACCCACATTGACCAATGACAGGTCTCTTTTTCGTTATTTTAAGCACGATTGGATTCTCGCCTTCGATTTGAGGTCCCGCTGGTAGTCAAAGATCCTTGCATGTGCTTGTACCTGACTGATTTGGGGCTAATAGAGCATCGCACCTAAAGTTTAATTGCGCCCCTTTTTGAATATGACTTTCCCCTCTGTTTTTCAACACACTGGCGATTGAAGGTTGAATCTATATGTCACATTCTTCTCTGCATGAAGATGGATGATGAGCGTATGAACAGTCCTAAATGCATGGAGAGATCGTATAATACAAATGAAGGTAACTATCAAGAAACACATGGGGTGTTACTCATTCTCTTTTAATCTCGCCTTTGCAGTCACATTCAAGAAAGAAGAATATGGGGGTGTGAGAACATCAGATATCGAATTTTACATTTCACAAATATCCTCTTTTCCCCTAACCAGTTTCTTGCCCCGCTTCCACAAACACCATATTCAGCTCCTCGCCAGGACTCAGCGTCACATCAAACTTGAAAGGCGGGTCTTGACCCGCGGTCCCTGCAGGCTCCATCGGCAATAATCTCACTGAAATTTTGCAGGATCCGCGACATCTCTAACATGGCAAACGGTTGTCCCAGACAGATGCGCGGACCACCACTGAGCGGGATGAAATGCCACGGCCTCGGTTGCCAGCCAGCCGTCCAGCGTTCCGGTATCCAGAGGAGGGGGTCGAAATAGGGGATGGTCCGCTTCTTGTCGCTATCTGCGTTGCTTGGGGCCGGTGGTGGGGAGTTATATAGGTTACGCCGCCGCTGCATGTTCGTCGTCGAGTAGAAGATGCGCGTGTTGTTGGGGATGCCGACGGACGAGTGGCCGTCGGGTCCACCGCCGCGTGGCAGAGGCGCAATGTCTCGTTGAGCACAGCCGTCAGGTATTCCATCTCCTTGAAGTCCGAGTAGCTGGGTTTGCGGCTGGTGCCGAGGCGGTCGAGGACTTCTGTGCGGAGAGGGGCGTCTACCGTTGGGTTGTGCGAGAGCTCGAAGAGACGGAAGCAGAGGGTGGCGGCGGCGTCACGACCCGCGAGAAGGATGGCGACGAGCCGGTCGCAGACCTCATCGATGAATGGTTGCATGAAATCGTCCATTTTCTTGAGATTTAGGCGGAATTCCTTGCTGGGCAATAGGGGTCTGATAGGTCTACAAACAGGAAAACATTGGTGTTAGCTAACCCACTAGACCAATTGTCTACACTTTTTTATCGGGCTTTGGTGGGGAGTGCAAGGTGTTTTCCCAATTACCCAGCTCTAAAGAAAATTAGACTGGCGAGGGAGAACATATTGGAATGACTGCGAAAATGGTTTTCGGGTCATCCAAACTGTCAACACTTTGACCGATGAGGTAGTCTGTGGCAGCACCGAGAGTAAAGCAGAAGAACAGGGCTGCGACATCGACAATCGTTCCTTTCCCAGGCTTCTCATTATTCCAGGCTTCTCATTATTATCTTTTAGATGAGGAATGAATTTCTGGATGTGCTTCTCAAAATTCTCCCTATCGACAATTCGGTCTCTCGCAAACATGGGCCGGATCAGGTGGCGCGATCTTGACCACAGCTCGCCGTCCGCTGCGAAGATGCTGTCGCCCAAGAACTCCCTCCATTCTTCATGGAAACTCTGGCCTTAATGATTGCAGATAGCGCTTTGCACCATGGAGGCGGTGCCGGAGGCGTGACGGATGAAATCTCTCAAATAGTATCAGCTAGAGGGTTGGCCATATACCAGAAGGCCGAATCCCGGAGGCGATATGCATAATTTACATAGATCCACGGAAGCCCAAAGGAGAGAGAAGACGGCTTACAAGCGGCAACATCGTGATACTACACTAAATAAGAAGAGCGGATGGGAGAAAGCTGACATCATGATGTCTAACGGCGGGGAAAAGCATTGGGTGCGCCGACTGCAGCTCCGGAATGGACACTCGGCTTCACCGGGGCATTATCAGTTCAGAAATCCACTGCTGTGCTTGGTAAGTTGGCTGCCGTCAAATTATCCATGGTACCGACGAAGCGAGGTCGGCCATATATTTCCCTGTTCCTTTTCTTCTGGGCTTCTCCCCAACTTCCAAGGCGCTTCTCCACCTCAGACACGGATCAACGGCTCCATTTAGGGCCGGGGGCTAGTGGCCATACGTACGACTCGTATTCGATTTCGCTCATGGTCATAGACGCTCAAGGGAGATCCTTTTGAAAGTGCTGTTTTCATTGATGTTGTAGGTCAAGCTTAACATGCGTGATCCTTTTCGGGTCTTCTTGTGCTGCTTTTCCTGCACGTTTTTCAGGCACTTCGAATTTTTCTTTGCTTGTGAATCTTTCATATATCAACTGACCAGAATTAAGACCCCCCACACACACTGAATGCAAAAAGGGGATGGATGCGGAAGTTGGATTTGTTTTTATTGTGGGTCTTAGTGCCTTCGTCTCAAGTTGTACCGCGATTTTTTGAACATGAAACGTGCTTGTCTTGATTATCTTACGTTCGATTATTCCACTTTAAATATTGAAAACTTTTCGCGCAATGGTTTAACCCCTGGGAAAAGCTCAGCAGCCGTTCTTACCAGTACGCATCAAACAGAGTACACAATTTGAATGTGAATAGGAGAGGACTAACGACCGGTGACGGGAATTGAACGGCACAGTATTTAATGAATTTTCTCACATCATGCCGAGACCTTGGATATCAATGCACATCACTGTACGTTACAATCAATAGAAGATGCCCTTGACAGAACAGACTGCGTATTCGGATCACTCATGTTGATGAAGGCACATTGAACCATCGGACGGCAGCACTTCTACTATTTCCCTCTCGCACTCATCCGCTTTGCTTCTTCGCATCGACTTATCCTGGCCCCAGCTTCCTCGCAAAAACCCTCGATTACCATGTGCCAATTGGCTAGTGTCGAACTGGTCAGTGGTATCTGGGGCGCATTTGTGGGCTTTGCTTTGCGCCAAAATGTCGTGATGCGCATGGCTGTGTCTACTTGCACGAACCTCCGTGTCGGGTGAAGATTCTTTTCTGTCTGGGGATTGGGGTTTGTTGGTATCCGGAGTAATTTTGGTGGGATAAGGAGTGGGAATGATGGGTATGATCATGTGTTTGTGGGTATTTTCTTTTTGTTCTGCCTCCTGCTTCTTGACTTTTTTTTTTTAACGCATTATTTGGTTTCGAGAGCGAAAGCTGCTACGTTTGTTATTCTATTATTATTCGGGGTTCCAAACGATAATTCACCCCACGCACCCACAATCAGTTAATAGTGGCATCTTCAAACGCTACATTATTGTAACGGCACAAGTGAAAACCGATCAGAGAAATCCATCCATCCCACCCAAACCTGCCCTGGAACCAAGGATTTACAACTCGCAGCTGCCCTCCCTCATGAGACAATACGTCATCTGCGCCAAGCTCGCCCCAACACCCAAATCGACCACAGCTCGCTCACGCCATTCACTCAAGCGATACGAAGCATCCTGAATCTGATTCGCGGTCCGCGGTCCACTCCAGAGTACCTCAGCTGCCGCAGCTGCCCGTGGCCAGACCATCATGTCCAGGGCAACCGGGTCAACATTCTCCGACCACATGTGCGTCTCGCCGCCTTCAAGCAGATGGTGCAGATCCTCTGAAATCCCTTCCAGCGGATTGTACATGTACATGTGCTTCCAGTTTTTCTTCGGGCTACACCAGTCGAGGAAGGGTTCTTTGATTGCGGTCGAGCTGCGTTTAGGGTTTACGTAGGTGCCTTGCCCGCAATCGAGGTACCAGGCGTCACCGGAGCCGAAGATCGTGCGGTATCCTCGGTCTAATAGATATTTAACAGCAGTAGAGTTGCGCCATGCTTGCACGATTATTTCGGTTTTCTCAGTTGGGGAGGGGGAGAGTGATAGGTCCCAGTCTGCCACGAGCTCTTCCCAGACAATAGGGGTGAGTCCTGCTTTGCGGATGGCGGTGTGAAGCCGAGTGACGACAGCTTGAAGTAAAGGACGGAGGACTTCTTCCTTGCTGGATCCGATTGCCTCTTCGAGAAGATATGTGTTAAGATTGAATTCATCGCCCCCCGTATGGAAGTAGCGGGTAAATGGCGAGACTCGAGGAAGCAGGTCTGCCATCAACTCGTCAAGGAATTTATCCACGTCTGACGAATTTAACTTGATTTGCCCGCTGGGAGGTTGGAGTGCATACTTCTCCCACTCGTTAGCGAGGAATGCGGAAACTAGCTCGGGAAACGCATATCCAATGGAGCCCGTGTGGCCTGGCATATCGATTTCGAGGAATACTGAAACACCCCGTTCAAGGCCATACATTTGGATATCAGACAGCTTGGAAGATGTCAATATCAGACTGGGATGGTAGGCGCCCTTGGCAGCCAGTTCAGGCATGGAGGGGATGTCCAACGGCCAAGACTGGGAGTCCGTAGCATGGATATGAAGACGGTTCATTTTCGCGGAAGCCATTGCATCAATTGTACGTTTGATATCCTCGGGCGTGTACGCGTTTCTGGATATATCGAGGTTCAGTCCACGGTGACCCCATTTAGGGGCGTCCGATATGGAAATTGGTGCGTATGGGGTATACACCCCTGACCTTGAAGAATGCGCGTAGAAGAGCTGCTTAAAGGTTTGAAGTGCACGGATAGTTCCGATGGCGGAATTGGTCGAAATCGTCGCTTCACCGGTAGCAAGTATTTCAATGGTGTAGCTCTCATCTTCGTGGATGTAGTCTCGGACCTCCCTCTGCGACTGGTTTGCAGATACTTGCTTGATTATAACTTGACGGATAACTGCATCCGATCGATTCAAGGCGGGCTCATAGGAGCTGTTCCGGGGATGGAATTTCCATGGCACGAATTTGGTGCGATATATTTCCTTCCCGGTGCGCTTGATAGCCTTTTGTACTATTTTGGCAACACTTGGAATTCGTTTCTCTGGAGTCTTGTCCTTCCTCAACCAGGGCGTCTGGAAGAAATCTAACACCGCCAAATCCACATATGTAGAGAAATAATCCCTTGCTTCGGTGGCGTTGTCTGCATCACTGGGCTGGTAGGAGAATTCCGCAGAGGACGCGAGCCACACGGTTGTGTTGCCAAACTTGAACTCCTGCAGCTGAGGCCAGACAGCCAGCGAAAAAGAAACCAAGGTGAGCAAGGTCACAATAGAGATCAGCATTGTGAGAGAAATCGCGATATCAAAGGGTAAGATGCTTTGTAGTAGTAGTGCGAAAGGAAGGCGAAAACATAAAGATCACAGATAGCGGTATTTGAAAAGAACGACGTGGGAGGGTCAATTCGAACTGGCGATAAACGCAAGTTACTAGCATTTCCCGTCCAAGTCGTCGCAGCCTCACTTGGAAGTGTTCCAAGTAAAATCCATGAAGTGAATATATCACATTCTGTTTACCATTTCCAAGTTTGGAGCAACACTTACAGAGAGGCGAGGGGTGCGTCAAACGGTGGATAGCAAGAATGTACCTCAACAACGGAGGAATTAGGATACGTTGATAGGATTAGAGTCAGCTAATGGGACAATGGCCTGAGAAAATATGCGAGTTGATGTGCACAGAGAAGTTGTAACCATCAACAGAGTTCTCAGCATTCCATAGTTCCTATCGTCGTTCCTCCATGCGGGACTCAACGCCAAACTTTTCCCATACAAATTCTAGAAAATAACGACTTTCAGATTTCAACCACACATTAATATGAGGAATGTATACCTTATAATTTAATATATGCTTCTAATATATATATTCAATGTTTGATTTTCAAAAGGGCTATATATACATGACTATGGAATGTTTCCAAGTGTTAGCGTACCTTACGGGTTACTTAATCAAGATCTGGCGCTGACTCAGGTCTGACTTAGCGGTCCGGCCTGTGACGTTTGTGGCTTCTCTGTTGCGCCGTAGCATGTCCTAACGAGGCAAGTCTCGACTTCAGCCGTTACCTTTCATAACTAAGCTTTCGTTCAACGAGTAAATTTGTCGTTTGCTGCTGTTCCTCCCACTCCCTACCTTATCGATGCTGCGGCCTCCACACGACCAGTCCATTTCATTTTTAGATATCACCTCCCCGTCGTTTATTTTGGCCGGTATTTCTCTGCCGCTCCTTTGCTACTAGCATTTAACAAGGCATACCTCGGCTCCGCAGCTTTCGCCACATCCTTCCGTCCTTATTCAGTCCTTATTAGAAGTCAGGCGCTCCCGCGACCATGTCGGTGTCCATCAAACTCGGAACTCCCCTTGCGGAGGCCCTTAACGAGGCCGTGCAGCCAAAGCTAGTGGACGTTGGTTGGAGCACAGGCGGGGGCGATGACTCCGCTCTGGCTGAATACGTCATTCTTATGCTTGTCAACGGGAAAACCCAGGATCAAATTGCTACAGAGCTTGCAAACGACCTTCTAAGTCTGGGTCCGGAAGATACAGAAGCTGCTGATTTTGCAAAATGGCTATTTGAAAAGGTTCATGAACTGAATAACAAGATCAATGGTGTTTCGGCGGAGACAGAGCAACAGAAACAGTCACAAGTCATTCCTTCTATTTCAGAGCAGCAGAGCAGCTCATCTTTACCAGCTGGGACAGGGGATTTTAGAGATTCTGAAATGAGTGGAGATGTCACCAACGAGGGACAGGATGGTAATATGTAAGCCAACATCCCTTTATCTCATGGCTAGTTTAGTTTTCTTCTGCAGCTAATTAATATGAATTCGGACAGTCCTACCGGCCCCAAAGCTGCGCGAAACCTCAAACAACAGCAGCAAGGTGGACGAGGCAGGATTATGAGGCAAATAAATAAGACTATGGATCGCCAGAATGACTCAGTTCTACACCGTGTACGCAGCCACCAAGGTTCAGAACGAATCAACAGCCATTCCAGAGATCCCCCGAAAGGTCCGAGAGCATTTCCGGGGAGAAACGGACGTATGCTTCCAGGGGGGCTATCCGGACCAATGGGTATGGGCATGGGAGCAGGAATGGGGATGGGGATGGGGATGGGAATGGGTGGTGGTCCGATGCCAAATGCAGTACCAGGAATGGTATCGTTGAGTCCACAGCAACAAATGCAGATGATGGCTATGCTGGAAGAGCAAGCTCGAATGATGGCTCAGATTATACCCGGCATGGTTCCACCAGCGATTAACCCCGCATTTCAAAATGGCCCACCTCCGGGCCAACAAGGGCGCTCCCTTTTTGATCGCGCTGAGATCAACCCGCACCGGAACCAGCACTTGGGTCCACAGGAACACACAAACGGCCACTCTTCGAAATTCCATACACCAAGCGCAAATGCCGACGTGGACATGAACACATCACATAATGCCCCAGATTCTTCCATGGACGTTGATGCTGCCCACGAAACTCAATCCGCAGAACCAGGTCCACACACTGTTTGTCGATTTAACCTGAAATGCACACGGAAAGACTGCCCCTACGCGCATCAATCTCCCGCTGCCCCTGAAGGCATGGTCGTCGACGTGAATGATGAATGCCCTTTCGGAGCAGCATGCAAGAATCGGAAATGCGCTGCCCGACACCCTTCCCCCGCCCAAAAGATCGAACACCAATCCGAAGAACTTTGCCGATTTTTTCCACACTGCACAAACCCGAACTGCACATTCAAGCATCCGAGTATGCCGATGTGCAGAAATGGCGCGGACTGCACAGTGCCGTCTTGCAAGTACACGCATCTGCAAATCCCCTGCAAATTCAAACCGTGTCTTAACAGGATGTGCCCGTTTAAGCATGCTGAGGGCCAACGTGGTGTGTTTGCGGATAAGGTGTGGAGGGCTGGAGATGAGGAGAAGAAGGAGCATGTTAGTGAACGACGATTCGTGACAGATGAGGATGGGCAGGAGGAACTTATTAAACCCGAGACTACCGTGGCTGATCCATCTGCCGACGCGGACGAAGCGAAGGGGCACGAGATTGTGACTTGATATATCTTTTTCTTTTCCTTTGTCATATAATTTTCAAGAGTTTATTTTACTCATTCATCACGAGCTGCTTATCGCACAACCCTAACCCCCACCCCTGGTCACTACGGCTGGCTGGGATGTTGATTAAAGACAGCCCACATTTAAGAATCTTGTTTCTTCTTTGCCCGGGGTTTTCCTTCTCTCAACCATGTATTAAACCTTGCTGTGCTTTTCAAGTTTCAAAGTGGGTCATGCCTGAGATGATTGGCGTTTGGATAAGGGGAGTTGCTGTTGAGGTTTGTGTTTATATCTATTTTTGTTCTTTTTTCTGTATCTAGCATCAAACAAGGGGATTATAAATGGCTAAAAAGGGCGTCAACATATTATTGGAGATTTTTTCTATGAGACGTTTAAGATTATGTATGATTATTCTTCTTATTTACTGTTTCTCTCATTTTCATTTTCGGATATGGGTTTGTCTTGCATGGAAGCTTCAACCCATAACAACCAACCGTCGCTGGCTGATGGTTAAGAAATCCACACAAGGCTCAGCAGATGTCGACAATTCCCTTTGTTTCAGGCTTATGTTGAAATTGATGGATTCATATCAAAAGGAAAGCTCTGTAGTTTGTCGAATGATTAGATACCGTGAAACGATGTCCAATGCACAGTACATCTCTTTTGCTTTGAATTTTAATCATTTTCTCGTTGAGCTTTTATTCTGTCCCAGCTTGTCTGTTCCATGAGCATTCATTTACCATTTAAGTTCTTGGTTTGGATATCATTTCCGGGATGATTTGATATATCAGATTCTGCAATAGATGTACTGTACATACCGTGTTGAGAGTTGGGATCATCTCGAACAAATTACTTTTCAAGTTGCAGTGTTGAACAAAAGCCTCGAACATGCTTAGAATTTCGTTTGGTTCCAAGGGTCAAGAGCACCGCGTACGAGCTTCCCAAACCGCCAACTTCAACTCACCCGACACAAAAACAATTCCACTACCTCATTGCAATGCGTCCACGGTGCTCGTATCGCACCATAGACGAGCTATGGACGCATTCTTGTGGTGGAATACAGCCATTGACCTGGTCTAGACGATTAATCACAGCTCACGCCCCTCCATTTTGCTTTCGCCGTTTCATCTCCAATCCGAGCACACATCACAAAAACATTGCAGTAATAGGGGCCGGTGTTACTGGCCTCTCAACTGCATTCCGTCTCTCTCAAGACCAAGATGCGCGCGTTACGCTCTACGAGAAGGCCCCGAAACTTGGCGGTTGGTTGCAATCGGAAATAATCAATGTCGACGGCGGGGAAGTGCTGTTTGAATATGGACCGAGAACCCTACGGGCGGGATTGGGAGGTAGCTTGTCCACGCTGGAACTGGTAAGATAGCTAGGGAGAGCTACCCATTCCGAATTTTACCCAAGTCGCTATACTCCTGAAACTAATGTGTATGTTTTTCTCCGTGAGCATTTCAGTTATTCGATCTAGGCCTCAAAGATGATATTCTGCCGACCGAGACTGATTCCCCGGCTGCACGTAACCGATATATTTACTATCCAGACCACCTTGTGCGTTTGCCGGGACCATATCCCGGTGCTGGCGTGCTAGGGAACATCCTCATGAATGTCATGCAACTAATTTCAGAGCCCCTACTCTGGAAACTTGCTCTGGAAGTGATTCTCGAGCCTAGAAGGCCGGTCCGTGACCGATCGATATCTGACGAGTCCATTGGCGATTTTATGAAGCGTCGTTTTGGTCCGAATGTGTCAGATGTTGTTGCTTCCGCATTTTTCCACGGCATTTATGCTGGTGATCTATACAAACTCAGCGCGCGGTCGATTTTGCGCATAGCCTGGGACGAGTTCGAGCTCTCTGAACGAGGCTTTGCGACGGAGTTGATGGACCAATTCAATCAGCAGAAAATTCTTATGCCGTATGATATTGCAATGGCTCGTCGGTTGGTTGAGAAGGAGAAATATAAAGAGATACGCCGGTTTGCGACGGGTAATAACGTTTTAACTCTCCGGCGGGGCATGGGCCAGCTCGCTACAGCATTAGAGTCGTCGCTAAGAGGTGCATCTAATGTGGAAATCAAGACTGGTGCTGATATTAAATCCATCTCCAAGGGGCAAGATTCAGCGTCTATGACAGTACGTCAGAACCAATATATGGCCTTGCTTCATTACTTGCTCACTGTATTTCACTATGATAGGTTAGCCTTGACGATTGCACCTCTTCCAACTATGACTACGTAATATCTACGACGTCTTCCACAGCCCTCGCCCAGCAACTCCTCGCCTCAGAGGCAGACCCAGCCCCAACATCCGTAACGGACCTGCTTAATGAGAATGACTACGCCGTTACCGTCATGGTCGTCAATCTCTACTACAAAAATCCAAATCTAATCCCACACCGCGGCTTCGGTTACCTAATTCCCCGCTCCGTCCCCGTCGATCTCAATCCCGAGCGCGCCCTTGGCGTCATCTTTGCCTCAGATAGTAGCGCCGGCCAGGACACAGCTGAGGGAACCAAACTTACCGTAATCCTGGGCGGACATTGGTGGGATGACTGGCTCCTCTCAGACCTGCCGGATGAGGAAAACGCCATCGCCATGGCGAAATCGGTGCTCGCGCGACATCTGCGCATTGCTGATGAGCCTGTCGTTGCCAGAGCGCGGTTGCAACGGGATGCGATTCCGCAGCCGACAGTTGGGCAGGTGACGCAGATGGAACGGCTGCATGATGCCCTGGAGCGCCGGTTTGAGGGGAGATTGAAGGTTGCTGGGGCATGGTATACGGGGGTTGGGGTCAATGACTCGATACGGGCTGGGAGGATTGTGGCAGCGGCGACACTGGAGGGGCAAGAGGGCGTTACGGGATTGGAGAGATATACACCGGAAAACTTTAAGCGAAGGTTTGGTGGTTCGAGGGTACAGGAAGGGCGGGAGTGAATGAATATGTAGGGTTATTTTTGAGAGGGATTACCACATATGTAATATGTATTAAGATAGAAATATAGAAGGAAGAAGTTTTTCAATGTACCCTGTCCCCGTCGTGCAAAACGTTCATCGAGTATAGGTCGTTGAGATATCGTGGTCTTGTTCGTATCCGGATTGTTTGCCATGTCCCATCTGCACTATTGGCCTTGAGCTTGTTTATTGACATCGAAACCATAATTTCGTTTGCGCGATGAAGGACCTTGAACGACAAGGCTTCACTCATATCACCCGCCACCAAACTGTCTCTCTCGTCGTTCTCCACTCCCAAATTAGACATTGCATCAGCACGCGATCAAAACCCTTCCCAAATCGTCATGCCAACGTTCAAGCCGGTTATGGTGGCGTTGGTGTAAGTGGCCTCTCGATGGGGGGCGCAACTCAGTACACATAACCATCGCATGAGGCTTCTGTCACTCCGTTGGAGTGCGCTCCTTCGTATGATATAATAATGCTTGTCACAAAACCGCCCTCCTTTTTCTCCCTCCCGCACCATTGTTTGGACGTCGTCCCGAAGTAAACCCATCATGTACCATACTTCTAAAAACAGAGATTAGAAAGAAATCAGTGCACAAGAGTATCTTAGTTTTGACGACCAAGTATCTTAGTTTTGACGACCACGATATTCCTGTCCCACCTCCATTTCTCAGGGGTTATGATCCGCACATTCCGCACTCGTCTTCTTCCTCTCGCCCTCTGAATCAAACCCCAAGGCATCCAGCTGTCTCACTAACTCCTGAATCTTGATAACCTTCTCAAACTGCTCTGGAAGCAGATTTTCACCATTGTCTTTCCTCTCCCTTAGCTCCCTTGCCTGCCTCAGCTTCTTGCGCAAATTGCGCAGCTTCTTCTCTTTCTCGACTTCCGCATCATGAACGACATCTGCATCAGCACCAGGGTTTTCTTCTTGCGTACTTTCCCTCCAGTTCTCTTTCTCCTTTGCTTTCCCTGGGACCCCCCCTTCTACCTTTCCAGATGTAGTAGACAAACCATTCTCACCCTCCGCAGCTTTCGCCCTCCGCTTCGCCTCCCGCTTCTTCGCATTCTTATTGCTTGCAGCTGTAGCTGCCGTAGTACGAGCAGATTCCTCTCCTAGACCTTCTACACCAGGAATGCCGCCCTTGCCGCGATTTTTCCACGCTTCAGCTGTACGGTTTTTGTACACCTGTATATCCTCCGGTGGCTGGTAGCCGGGCCGGATTTTAATTTCGCGGCGCTGGGAGCCGTCAGCGCGTGTCGAGGCGGGAATGTGGCGTTCACCGGTTAAAGCGTTGACTGTTATCCCTGAGGAGGAGATGGGTTCCGATTCTGATTTTGGGGGCATGGTGAGCGAGATGTATATTGTGTTTTGTCTCCACGGTTGGACAAATCCTAGGTGGGCTTCACGCAGAGGGGGCAGGATAAGAGTTCGCGCGGGAGTAATTATATTAGAAAGACATACGCGCTCAACGCTCACGAGCGGAGAGAGTAAACAGCAGGCTTACCCTGCCAGCGCAGTGTTGTAAGCGTGTGGATGGAGTGCAACAAAAAGGAATCTTAGGCGGTGTTCCTTTTTCTGAGCTGGCAGAATCCAAGGCGGAACCGCGACTGGGCCAATCACTGCCTGCCTGATTCCCGACGCTGTTTCTCACCTTTTCCTTCATTCTTCCTGCGAGACAACTGTCGCATAACTATCCTTCGACGCAATTGCGGGCCGCATAACCATTTCCCCGTTCAATTCCCATACATCTCTCACCATGGCAGGAGTATGTGACCTCCCAATCCCGCGAGCTACAGTCCTGCTCCCATTTTGTGAATTTTCTGGACTGTAACAGTCGTGCTAACGTTGACACCCAACATTTCCACAGATTACTGGAATGATATACAAGTAAGTCTCCCCGCATCCGTAGAACATGTCATTTTGGAGATAAATAAAGGTCTAACCTTTCGCTCTTACGTAGCTCCCTCTTCCGACGGAATACTACGTTCCTGAGTTCGATATTCATCGGAGCCTTCGCGTTCGAGATGTACGTGATAGCCATATGACTGCATACATATATATTTTATGGATATTGGGTGGAACTGAACTGAACGAATTTTTTTCTTGGCTGTTAAAACTATAGGGCATTCGACTCTATCAGCAACCGGATATTTGATTCTCTGAACAAGGGTGTATGTATACACGGTCGCTTCGTCTTCGTTTTGAGTTGGTTTTAAGGCCTTGGTTGACTAACTTCGGCGCCCCCGTGCACAGAGACAATGGAAGGATATCCGACACCAGTACATCCAGAAGGCTGAGGATGAAGAATAAAACGGGCCAGATGGAAAATATTGATATAAAAGCTTTGCTTGTGCGGCGCTTGAAAGAAGCGTGGTGCTTTGAAGTGGGATAGAATTGTTTATGTACAAGTTAGATATTGTGGAATTATGCAAAAAATTCATATCTGTTTCTGGAAAAAAAAATTCGGGTCAATATGCTTGATGATTCAAGTAGGGAAGAATATGGCGGCATCTGGAGTGAATATGCGGGTGGCGTTATAGTTGTCGTCTATCCGGATTTAACAAGGATATATCTCTCCTTCGGGCAAGCTCCGTAGCGATTTGGTTAATTCAATAATATTAGCGCCTTGACACGGAAGTAAAGTAAAGTGAATAAACGCGGGCGGTGTTAATGTTGAGGCGTGGCTGTTTCCTTAGTCCAGCAGCCGTAAGTCAGTGATGATATCAGGCATCATATCGGCGGGGAAGCTGTTTATAACTAACAACGCTGACTTGACGTAAAACATTACAACCACTTTACTCCAACTCCCATCACGCCACATCACATCATAGTTCTCTGCATCCACTCTCCATTTAGTTGACATTTTTGAATTCATTTTCAAACTTTGTCCCATTTTCTTCATCCCTCCCAAACGTTCCCTCGAAGTCCTTCGCCCCCCACCACCAACTCAATCTCACATCGAAATCCACGGGCTCGTAACTATATAATACGGGACACGGGACAAACGGGAACAAATGATCTGAACGAATGCCAGATAAAATTAACGCATACCTGTATCATGTTATCGAATCTTGAGCGGAGACTCGGCCAGGCTCTACTCGAGCATCCATCCCGACATGGCTACCGCTATACCAAGGAAGCCCGCCAGGACCTCCTCGAGCTCCTCTTCCACTGTATGACTGGTTACAACGAAGAATACCTTCGCCTACTATTCCCCAACGGCTTTTCAGAGAGCGAATGGAAGTTGTCGGAAGCACAGGGTGCAGTTGAAGGTGCTGAGTACACGGAATCAGCTCGGGGAAAGCGGTGCGGGCACATTTTCAAAAACGGCGAAGCTTCATACCACTGTATGACCTGCTCCACCGATGATACTTGCGCGCTTTGTACCCGCTGTTTCGATTCTTCAGATCATACGGGTCACAAGTATTCTATTTCGCTATCCAGTGGATATAATGGGTGCTGTGACTGTGGCGATGAGGAGGCGTTTAAAATCCCTGTTCTCTGTGCTATACATACTGCGACGCCGCGGGATGCTGAAGGGAAAGGGAAGTCCTCGCCGTCGTCACATGCTGCGCAGACGCCTGTTGATCTGGTAGAGAGTATTACCACGACGATTAGCAGGGCTTATGACTATTTCTGCGATGTTATCTCATGTTCACCAGAACAGTTGAGGCTTCCAAAGACTGAAGCTGGTATCAGAGAGGACGAGGCAGCGTCGAGGCTATTGGCGGAATGGTACGGTGGGAGTGACCCCGTTCAAGAAGAACCTGAGTTCGCGCTTGTCCTCTGGAATGATGAGAAGCATACTGTTACCGAGGTCGCAAATCAAGTGGTGCGCGCCTGTCGAGAGGCGTCACGGTTCGGGATAGAGAAGGCCAACGAGACTCATGAGATTGGGAGGAGTGTGGTGAAATACTCGAAGGATTTAGAGAATCTACTGGTGGTGTCGAAGATCATAGAGCAGATCAGGGTTACCGTTACAGTGAGGTCGGCAAGAGATACGTACCGAGAACAAATGTGTGGGACCATTATTGAGTGGCTTTCTGATATTGCCTCCTGTTCTATAGGAGATGACAATGACCTGCTCAGGCAGACTGTGTGCGATCAGATGATTCAACCCTGGAGACTTGGAAGTAGGGCATCAAATGCCGACATTGGGAAAAGCGGCATCTATGATAATGAGGAAGAGGATCGGTCGAGAGATTACTCCGTGCGGGTTTCAATCGGCCCCGAGGGACCATTTATAGAAGTTGCGGCAGCGCCGGACGATATAAATCCCAACGATGATGGCGCAGTGGAAGAAGGCCAAGCAATGGGGGAGGGGGAGGATGATGAAAATGGAAATGAGGATGAGGAGGATGAGGATATGAACGAAGTCGATGCCATTCGGCTTACTCTGGAACAAGATGTAGAGACTATGGAAGCAAGGGCAAACACCCTTGACGCGGACGTTGAAATGCCAGACAATGATTTGGAAATCGAGGAGGCTACTCTTGTTGCATATCCTTCACCATTTCCTCCACCCCCGCCATCACAGGACCCGCGACAGGGTGATAACCAAGACATTGCTACTCTAATTGTGCCTACTGGCCCTGACACTGAAGGCCCTGCGGGTTCCTTTGCGTCTGGGAAAATCGATATCCCCAAAACGCCTGGTGCGAGATTCCAACCTTCTGCAGAAGCCCCCTCTTACTGGGTGGTGAAACCTCAGCGATTTTACGATAATGAGGACCTTACACCCTATGAAGACTTGCGGAAGCGGACAAGACTCGATTGGATTATTTTGTTCGACTTGAGGCTATGGAAGAAAACCAGGACAGACGTTCGGGAAATGTGTCTAGGCACCGTCGTTAACGTTCCACAGTTCAAACGGATCCTTGGTTTGCGATTCTCTGCGTTATATACCGCTCTTGCCCAGCTGTATTTGATCGCGGATAGGGAACCGGACTATTCTATCATTAACCTCTCTCTACAATTATTAACAACGCCTTCTATAACAGAAGAAGTCGTCGAACGGGGGAACTTCCTGACGAATATTATGGCTATTCTTTATACCTTCCTTACGACACGCCAGGTTGGGGAGCCCCACGATGTTCACCCTAACGCGACTCTCTCAATAGACACTGGCTCGGTAACTAACAGACGATTATACCATTTCTTCCTTGATTTGCGCTATCTCCTTCTATCAGAGCATGTTAAGCGTCGTATCCGTAGCGAGAGGCAGTATCTAATGCAATTCCTGGATCTTGTTAAACTTCCCCAGGGAATTTGCCCTAATGTTCGTGCAGTCGAGGCCCACGTTGAATACGAGACTGAAGGCTGGATTGGGGCATCTATTCTGATGCGTGAAATTAATCGATTGTGTCGTCTGTTCTGCGAGGCGTTCCGCACAATCGAGTCTGAAGAAGATGCTGACAACCTCGTTGACGCGATAACCACCACTGCCTACTCAACCATGACTAACTCACTGGGGTTGGAGCGACTTCGCTTCGTCCACGCTGAGATTCTTGATTTCGTTCGCTTCAAGTCTGTTCCATTCGTGGAATTCGAGAAAGATGCTTTCCAAAAGGTTACCCACCATCGAATTGTCGAATTTGCGGTGGACCGTGGTTCGATTAGTTTCCACCATGCGCTCCATTATACACTGTCCTGGTTGCTGGAATATGGACGGGCTATGTCTCCTGAGAAAATGAGAGATGTACTAATTCGCGCGGCGGAGATGGTTAGATCCCAGCGGCTAGCCAATTCACCTCACCCATACCTGAGCCCGGATGATATTTTACTCACCATGTTTGACTATCCCCTGAGGGTATGTGCCTGGCTGGCGCAAATGAAAGCTGGAATGTGGGTGAGAAATGGACTCAGTCTTCGACACCAAATGAGCCAATATCGTGCAGTCACCACTCGTGAAATGGCCTTCTATCGAGATATCTTTATGCTGCAAACTGCCTTTGTCGTCTGTGACCCTAGCAGGTTCCTTGCGAGTTTGATTGACCGCTTCGGTGTTGGCGATTGGATGCGGGGTAACTATGTGACAAGGCCTGGTTATGAAGACGCCAAACATGTGGACATTCTGGAAGAGATGGTCCATTTAATAATTGTTTTGGTCACAGATCGAACATCGCTGTCATGCATGAACGATGAAGATAGTACCCAAAACAGTATTATGGCTCGAGATATTGCGCATGCTCTATGTTTCAAGCCGCTGTCGTATACTGACCTGACCATTCGGATGAATGATAAGTCTGGAGAATCGGGGAATTTCCAGGAAGTGCTGGCAGAGGTCGCTACGTTCCGCCCACCAGAAGGCATGAATGATACAGGCACTTTTGAGCTGAAGCCTGATTATCTCGATCTAGTGGATCCATACTGCACACACTATACTAAGAACCAGAGAGAAGAGGCTGAAAACTTATACAAACAGTGGATGGCGAAGAAGACAGGCAAAGATGCTACTTCAATTGTATTCGAGCCGAAGCTTCGCGTGATCCGGTCGGGAGCTTATGTTGGGCTTTCTAACTTCACTCAAACACCATTGTTCGCTCAAGTTATTCACCATTGCCTAGACTATTGTTTAACAGCCAAGACCGTTACCAAATCCATTACTACCACGAGGATCGAGACGCTCTTGCACCTGGTTCTTCACACGATACTCTTAGCTACTCTTGAAGATCACGCCTTTGAAGATGACACTCATGAAAATTTAGCGGAGCGATCTGACTCGACGCAGTCATTCGTCTATCACGCTCTGTGCAGGACCAAGTTTACTAGGACTGCGGAGATAAGCATTATCGGCTTGCTTCAGAATGTATCGACGGTGCCAGAATTCTCCTCGTGTGGACCCAAGATTCGTCACATATTGAAGAAATTTTGGCAAATGCGACCGAAGGCCTACGCCGCAGCGACCATTGCTCTTAAGTTCCCATACGATAATATCGAGGCTCCGTCGCCTGCTGGCAAGACTGAGAGCGAGCTCGAGCTTAAAAAGAAGCAGGCCCTTGACCGACAGGCGAGAGTAATGGCACAGTTCCAGCAGCAGCAGCAAAACTTTTTGGAGGCGCAGGGTTCTATTGACTGGGGTGAAGAGGATGACATCAGTGAAGCTGAAGAGCCGAGCATTCTCAGCCCAACCGAAAAGAAGTTATGGAAGTACCCAGCCGGTCGATGTATTTTGTGCCAGGAGGACACCAACGATTCACGTATATACGGAACATTTGCATTCATGGCTGATAGCAGGATCTTCCGGCAAACTGATATGGCAGACTCAAGTTACGTTGGGGAAGTACTGAAAGTTCCCTCTAGTCTCGATC